GCCTCCTGTTGCAGCTTAAACATCAAATTTATGTTCATATGATTAACTTGACATTCATTTCTTTTCATTGAATTTATTTTATTGTAATAAAATACAACCAAACATTTACCATTTCAACCATTTTTAAGGGTGGAATCCAGTGACACTAATGACATTCACCGTATTGTGCGGCCATCCGTTTTCAAATGCTTTTCATCCACTTAAACAGAAACATAGTTAGTACCCCGTAAGTAACAACTTCCATTTCCCTTCCCCTCAGTGACTGAATAAACCACTAATACACTTTTGTCTCTCTGCATTTGCCTCTTCCAAGTATTTCATGGAAGTAGGGCCGTACAGTATTTGTTCTTTTGTGTCTGACTTATTTTACTCAAGGAATTCTAGCAGTGCAGTGGGTAAAGCATTCAGCTGCTAACCAGAGGTTGGAGGTTTGAACCCCAGCAGTTGCTCTGACAGGAGAAAGATGAGGCAGTCTGCTTGCATAAAGATTTGCTGCCTTGGAAACCCTGTGGGGCAGTTCGGCTTTGTCCTATAGGGTTGCTATGAATTGGAATCAACTTGATAGTGGATATTTCACTCAGCAAAATGTTTTCAAGGTTCATCCATGCCATAGTGTGTATCACAGTATCTCTTTAAGACTGCATAATGCTCCAGTGTATTGATAATACCGCATTTGGGTTATTTATTCAGATGATGTACACTGTGACGTACACTTGGGTGGTTTCTACCTTTTTACTGTTGTGAATAATACTTCATTTAACACCGTATACATGGATCTTTTTAAGTCCCTGCTTTCAAGTCTCTTGGTTACACACCCAGGAGTGGAATTACTGAGTCACATAGTTACTTTGTATTTAACTCTTCGAGGGACCTTAGTGTATTTTTCACAAGAATTGCACCATTTTACATTCTACCAGCAATGAATTCTGGTTCTCACTTTTCCATATCCTTGCTAACACTTGTTATTTCCTGTTTTTCTGATATTAGTACATCCTAGTGGGTGTACTAGGAACTCTAGTGGCATAGTGCCTGAGGCATTTGACTTGTGACCAGAAGGCTGGCAGTTCAATCCCACCAGCCACTCCTCGGAAGGAATGTTGGGCAATCTACTTCCGTAGAAACCCAAGGAGGGGTCGCTATGAGTCAGATCTGCCTTCACGGCAGTGCATTTAGTTTTGGTTTAGTGGGTGTACAGTGCTATTTCACTGTGTCTTCTTGGTTTGCATTTCCCTAATGATGCTGACATTGAGCAACTATTCATGTACTTATTGGCCATTTGTATATCTCTGAAAACATGTCTGTTCAAGTCCTTTGTCCATTTTTAAATTGGGTTGTTTTTTTTGTTGGTTGTTGAGTTGTAGGGGTTCTTTATATATCCTGAATATTAAGCCCTTGCCTGAGATGGTTACCAAATATTTTCTCCCATTTTGTAGGTTTTCTTTTCAGTTTCTTGATAAAGTCCTTTGAAGCACAGAAGTTTTCAATTTTATTAACATTCAGTTACCTGTCTTGCTTTCTGTCACTCGAACTTTTGGTATCATATGTAAGAATCGAATCGATTGTCAAAAACTAGGTTTCAAACAAAGCATTCCCCCTATGTTTTCTTCTCAAAGTTTTATGGTTTTAAGTTTATAGTTATTGATACATTTTGATTTAATTTTTAAAATGTGGTGTGAGGTATGGGGTCTAACTTCATACTTTTTCATGTGGAAAGGCAGTTGTTCCAACATCATTTATTGAAGAGATTATTTTTCCCCAATGAATGGACTTCACAACTTTGCAGAAAATCAGTTGACCATAGATGAATGGGTTTATTCCTGGATTCTCAATTCTGTTCTGTTAATTTATATTTCTTTCCTTATACCAGTGTCAAACTCTTTCGATTACTGTAGCTTGGTAGTACATTTTGAAATTGTAAAGTGTGAGTTCTCTTACTTTGTTCTTCTTCTTCAAGATTGCTTTGGCTATTTGGGGCCTCCATAATCTAAGAGCTCTGGTGGTGTAGTGCCTAAGGTATTTGACTGGTAACCAGAGGGCTGACGGTTCAGACCCTGCAGCCGCTCCTTGGAAGGAAGATTGGGCAATCTACTTCCGTAGAGATACTGCCTTGGAAACCCAAGGAGGGGTAGCTATGAGTCAGAAACTACTTGACGGCAGTGAGTTTTTATAATCTAAGAAAACAAATGATCATTTTTGAGATTAAGTTGTGACTTTGTGATTTCACACTCATTTTGGGAACAAATGTCTTCAATGCTGTGTTATCACAAGGGGCTGTAGTACAGTGTTGTTAGTTGCTGAATCAGTTCTGCGGCACGGCAGCCCCATGTGTGTAGAGTAGAACTGCTCATAGTGTAAAGTCAACCAGCCAAAACCAAGCCCACTGCCATCAAGTTGCTACACATAGCTACATCATTGCTACACATAGCGACCCTACAGGACAGAGTAGAACTGCCCTACAGGCTTTCCAAGAATGTAAATCTTTATGAAAGCAGACTACCTCGTCTTTCTCCTGTGGCAAAGCTGGTGGGTTTGAACCGATGACCTTTTAGTTAGCAGGTGCATGCTTTAGCTACTGCACCACTAGAGCTCCACCAGGAGTGTAAGGTAGACATAGCAGTACCCTGATAGGAAAGCATGTCCATTTCTTTTCATTCCATGAGTGTCCCAGGTACACGTGGACACACAGTGTCTCGCGTCCTGGGATACAGCTCTTTGTGACTCGGGATGTTCCTCGTGACAGTCCTTTCTTCACCACAATTCTTCCTTCCTCCCTCCAGTGCTCCTCATTCACCCCAGAAACATGACGCTCCCCAGCAGAGGCAAGGAGTCACTGTGATTATTCTCAGTTTAGGCCAAAACACAAATATTTTAATGAGTTAGAAATAATGTTGTACTCATATTCTGGCCACTTGCTATTGATAGTTATGGTCCTCTTGTCCTTGAAATAAAATCCACTATGGTAATTTCAAACTATTTTTTAAAGCAGCAGGATCTTTCTTTTTTCAAACAAACAGTTGAAAGTGGTTGAAGCCTGAAAGAGCTTGCCAAGCTCACCGGTGTCTCCGCATCTTCACCTCATCTGTAGGGTACAACGGAACCCACAGATCTAATAGGAGGTTGTCTCATAATCAAGAAGCTACAAAAATAAAGTCAGTAGTATATTTTCTCACATTTCACTATTGTACTTCCCTTTTGTAGGTGCTATTTCAGGTGGTTTCAGGCTGGAAGAATCTCCATTTGTTCCCTATGACTTTGTGAACAGCAGTACTTCACCAGCCAGTCCTCCAGGTTCAATAGGAGATGGCTGGCCACGTGCCAAATCGCCTAATGGCTCTAGCAGTGTTAATTGGCCACCAGGTAAAATGCTAACAGCTTCTTCCGTGAGAGTGTGTTTCCATTAAGGTTTGGTTACATCTGGATTCACTAGCTGGTGATTCAGCCTAATTCTTGGTGATTAGACTGAGAGAGATAAGAAAGAACATAGAAATGACAGGTGAAAAGTTGAACATGAAGTCTTGGGCACATAAGAGTCTTTGGCTTGTTACCAGTGCCTTTATGCTTGAAGCAGTGAAGGTGGGGGCATCCCACTGACCAGCAGAAAGAATATTGTACAAAACCCTAATTCATAGATCACGCTCATCTGTCTGGGAACTAACTTGACAGTAATTTCATCTGTTTTGAAGAATTACCAGAAATGCAGTCGAGGCCTGCTTTGTCCTGCTCAGGTTGCTGTTGCTTTGTGATTTGTCCTAAAGCCCTTTCCAATATTTTGGCTTAAAAGTAAATAAACACAAAAAAATGACTTCAGTTATAAAAACTTTCAAAGTAAGCTATTTACAGAGAGCTGTTCATGTTCCACTAACTGTAGTACTGAACCAAACTCTTGGGATGTTAGCACTCATTGGAAAATATTTGAGAATTGTGGGGTGTTAAGAATAAACATTTTAGGTATTTAATCATGCATTTTAAAATGATAATTAAGCTTTGAACTGATTTTCAATTTTCATTTCCAGAATTTCGCCCTGGTGAACCATGGAAAGGTTATCCAAACATTGACCCCGAAACTGACCCTTACGTCACTCCTGGCAGTGTCATAAACAATCTCTCAATTAATACTGTGCGGGAAGTTGACCACCTCAGGGACAGGAACAGTGGTATGTAGGATGGCACGCGGCAAAGCGTTGAGTGGTGCCGGGCAGCACGTGTGAGAATGGCTCCGAGTGGGAGGGGCACTTTGAGCCACAGAAACATCATAGTATCTGACACCCAAGGGAGTCATGCAATGAAGTCAGTTCTCCTTACGTTTCCCATAGGTGGTTCTTTAATTTGGCCATTTTTAGAATCGTGAGGATTTATGATCACTTGATGTGGTAACAGTTACTACAAAGGACCAGTAAACATTTGTCTTCCAGTAGTTGTGTTAACAACTTAAAGTTGTTACCTGCTTTTATAATGAGATACAGTATTAAGGTTATTTTTAACATGACCTTGTACGTAAAAGCTGTGCTTATATTACTGTATGGTTATAAACTGGATATTGAAGGGCTTTGATCTGGGTGACAGTTAAGCTTTCTTTGTTTCCCAAAGTCTAAAAATAAGACCAATGTAAGGGTCACTGCAATCCAGATAGACTTGTAATTAAAAAATTTAATGAAAGAAAATCATCACATGATCGGCCACATGGTGGTTCTTCACCATAGGCGTTGATGTGTATTACACGCGTGATTGTGCACTAGAGAAAGATCAGAGGAATGAATGAAAACTTTGCTTGGTTCCATAGCATACGTGCTCTCATGTCACTAAACAAACAAATTCTGAAATGGTCAACATAGTACATTAAATGTATTAGTTTTTGGCAAGTGGTTGCCACATCATAGTGGTGAGAAACGAATCCTCCTCATCCTCAGATGGCCCTTTAACAGCATAGAGCTGCTGATTCCACGGAAGGAAAGAGGGAGGGGCCAGGTGATGAGCCTCCAAACTTTACAGTTGGTGGAAGAGCCTGATGGCTTGCAGACACACGGTTTCTTCTTGTTTGTTTTAAAGGGGCCCCAGTGCCCAGGGAGGGAACTGAAGACCTGCCAGAGAGAAAGAAGGGCCCTGGGGCCCAGCTGCCGCTCTGGCTGGGGAGGCCCGTGAGGGCATCATTTCAAACTAGGGAAACACATGTTTCATATGACACCATAGCAGATTTTACCCACTTCGTCAAATCGTGATTTTGTTTCTTTTCTGTATGAAGCTCTTTGAAGTGGATGTTTACTTGAAGATCTCCAGTTTTTAGCTGACAGAGAGATAGTGAAAAGGATTTGGTCTTCAGGTCTCTGATTCAGTATCTGTCGGCACAGTGTGGGTAGCACCAGCTGATTGCATGTTTGACTTCACGGTGATATGTGGCCCCACTGGGGAGAAGACATTACAGGTCAGGCGGTAGAACCCTTCTGTTTCCGATGGGAAATAAACCAGGAGAGGCCCTCATATCTGATGTGACAGGCCCTGGGTTGGTTAATTGAAGAGGTCAGCTGGAGCAGGGAATCATAAATAAGATGTCATATCCTGAGCATTTTATTCTAACTTAAACCTTAAACATACATTAATTTGCCAGTACATTGATGTAGGTCCAGGCCTTTTCTTTGAGCGTGAATTCAGTAATTGGTGTTGTCTAGTGCTGGTGGTGTAGTGCCTAAGGTATTTGACTACTAACCAGAAGGCTGGCGGTTCAGACCCACCAGCCACTCCTCAGAAGGAAGGTTGGGCAATCTGCTTCCATAGTGATACTGCCTCGGAAACCTAAGGAGCGGTCACTATGAATCAGGTCTGACTCGGCAACAGTGAATGAGTGTCTTTCTTGCATAAAGTAAAACCATATATGGGGTTTCTAATTTTCAGCTTCAGTTTCTTAATAAGTAGAAAAGAACTTAAAGACTTATTTGTGAAATTGTTTAAGTATAAAATCTTTCTAGATCTTTATGATTTCTTCTTTGTATTGGTTATAATTACCTAGCCTGTGCCTAATTGATGTCAGGTTGTTTTTCTTTTTTCCTCAATAAAAGCTTGCTGTCATCAGCTCAGTTTCCAGGTACACACCTCCTCCTACTCTGGTGTCACCTGATGGTCTGTAGGAAGAGCTGCTGTAATGCAGTGGAGGGTAAAGGGTGCTGCCATTCTGCCTTGAGAATAGACTGTGCCTCCTGTAGGAGCTCTGTGGGAGCTGAGATCTGGTGAAGTCGAGCAGAGAAGGCCTTTGGGCAGTAAGGGTCAGACAGAGAGCAGGGGTCAGTGGAAGGGACACTTTGAGAGGTAACAAAAGGCTTGGGGATCCAGTGTCTGGAATTGTATGTAGCCCAGGTTCTTGCACTCATTGTGGCCCTGGGCATCCTGGGCCTTTGCTTCTTGATCAGGAAGATGATGGAGCTGAGTAAGATCTTGAAGATCTCTTCACTCTCAAACGTTGGAATTCCACGAGGTGAAAAACAAGTGCTCAGAAGGAAAGGCCCAGGAACCCGCCTCTCTGAAATGCTGCCCTTGGTTCTCCGTTGCCAGTCCAGGTCTTGGCTGTGTCTCCTCCCGCCCCATCTGGATCGGCAGATCGGAGTCTGAGCCTCTGACGTGTGGTGTGGGTGTCCAGGTCGTGTCTGGGGGCTTCGCAGGGCCCTGAGGCTCTGAGCTGCACCTCCTAGGTCGGCTTCCTGAGAGGGATTCCCTCTCTGTCCAGCCTTCACTGCGACACTTAACGCTTGTCACAGGAAGTTGCCGGAGGAAGCTGTTTGCCCGGCTAATGTGGGGACTGTGAAGAACAGTGAGTCAGAGCTCCCCATGAGAGGGTCTTGTCGGCTGCCTGTGTGAGGTGGCACGTAGCCTAGCGGGACGTGCGGCTTCCTCAGCAGGAGCTTCAGAGAAGGCAAGGAGAAGGCACCCGTCACTGTGGGGCCCTGGGATTGTAGCAGGTGATTCTGTCTTAAGTGCTTTTCTGAATAGCCTGGACATTGAATACTGTTTCAGGGGCAGATTTGATCAGTGTAAGTGTGTGTGTGTGTGTGTCAGCAGGGGGCTAGGGAGTAGAAAAGGGGTTTGTGTCATTTTCTGAAATCAGGCACCACCGTTTCCCACTTAGAGAGCCTCACTCTCGCCAGAATGGTTTTTCCCCCACACACATACACAAATGTGATTATGACATTTTCCTGCTTAAAGATGTCAGGCGGCTTCTTGTGTGTGCCAAGATAAAATTCAAAGTTAAAATGACTAGACCCCTCATTGTCTGACTCCAGTCCATCCGCTAGTCTCTTTCTACCCCACCTCTTACTTCCCACTTCCCACCACCATTGCTTGCATCCTGCCCTCCAGCCATACCTAGGTGTTTTAAGTATTTCTCTAAAACCCTGTCATTTTTAGCAAAGTCCAAGCATAGTCATGTTTGTTGACTACCGTACTTAGCAGGGTACCTAATACAGACACCTGCTCTCTGCTTCGTTGACTGAGTAAGAGAGGCCATTGGGGAAAGATAATTGAGGGGAAAGAAACCAGGCTGCTGGAGCAGCCGTCACCCACTTGTGAAACGTGAATAACCTGGACTGCAGGGCGGCCGGGGGCGATGGGCGGGGTACAGAAGGGTCTGAGAGTCTGGAGGGGAGCTTCCATTTAATACTCTAGGAAATAAGAAACCATTGAAGGTTTCAGCACTTGAGGTAAGTAACCCGACCATGGTGGGCAGAATGGATTTGAGTGGGAACCAGTTAGGGAATGGTTGTAGTGGTCCAGGTAAGGGTCCAGTCTGGAGGTAATTGGGAAGTCGTAGTAGGTCTTGGAGACTGATTATGGGGCTTGATGGAGAAGGATGAAGCCATTGACAGGGCTTCCTGGTGAATGGGCTCCCCAGTAGCATGTCATTAGAGCAAAGAGGAGTGTGAACAGCGAGAATTAGCAACACTGTCAGCGCCCAGTGCTGGGAAGGGCCACTGCGGGATGTCTCTGTGCTCTGGCTAGTTAGAGTGCATCCTCATGGATAGTGATGGGAAAATGGAGACCACAGGGAACATTCCTGATTCTGAGCCAAGGAAAGCCAGTTAGCAAGCCATCTCTGAGCAGGCTTTGGAGGGCAGGAAGGAAGGTGGTCTTGTATGGTCGGTTCCCCTCAGTGTCCTGTTTCCTTTGTTGAGTTTCAGTTTCACGCTGTCCCTTTGTTTATCTGTAAATACCATGTCCTTGGTCCTGCTGCCTGACTAATTGGCTTCTTCCCCCATGTAGGGTCATCCTCATCCTTGAACACCACGCTGCCTTCAACTAGTGCCTGGTCATCCATTCGTGCCTCCAACTACAACGTTCCCCTCAGCAGTACAGCACAAAGCACTTCAGGTGGGCCACACACACCCTGACCTTGCCTCGGCCCCGCTCGGGACGAAGGGCGTTAGTCAGCATCGGGGCTGTGGGCATCTTGAGCGGAGCCGTTGTTTCAGGGAATTGAGAGTGTTGGTGAGGCTTTGGGTGCCGTTTGTTCCTCATTTCACTTAGCACCCATCTACCAAAATAAACAATTTTCACCAAGTGCTTTCTGATCTAAGGGCCACCTCAAGTCTGTAATGACATGTAAAACGTGACTTCTAGATTGCTGGAACTGTAATGACATGCTTGAGAGTTACAGCAATGCCAGCTGCTATGAGAGCTCACAGGCTTTTAGTCTGAATTTCTACACCGCCCCTCAGTAAAATGTGTGGGTCAGGGCGGACCCGGGGCAGGGCCTGAGAGCCCGGTGGTCAGCCTGGCTGGAGCGGGCTCTGCGTCTGTAGTCTTCTTTGCTCCAGGACTAAGCAGCCAAGTTCTAAAGTCTGTTGAGACACTCCGGTGTGCTAAGCGACTCAAGTGTGGTCCTTTAGGTACAGCGGTGACACTTGCCGTCAGAAAGGGTCTGGAGCTGGGCTTTGTCGTGGCGTCATTAGGGAGCTCTCGTACCCTGGCCCCAGCGTCTGGTCTCACCTGGAAGCAGCAGACGGAGCTGGGAGGAGGCTTGCTTAGGATTTTCTGTTGTTTTTGCACTTTAGCTTCATTTGGGGTTTTCAGTTAAGTCTCTTTGGTTGTTTTTCTCTTCGTGGGAGGGTGGGTATTACATTGTTTCAGTGTTCTCTTTTCTGAAAACATTACCTACCCCCTTACTCTTTTTTTCCTCTAAGTAGCCAGAAATAGTGATTCCAAATTGACATGGTCTCCTGGTTCAGTTGCAAACACCTCTCTGGCTCATGAGCTGTGGAAGGTCCCTTTGCCACCTAAAAACATCACTGCTCCGTCCCGCCCACCTCCGGGACTGACTGGTCAGAAGCCACCCTTGTCTACATGGGATAATTCTCCCGTTCGTGTAGGTGGAGGATGGGGAAATTCTGATGCCAGATATACCCCAGGTAAGATGAAGTACAGAAGTGATTGACGCAGTGTGCTTGCTGAACTAACCAATGCCAACTAACCAAAGACCAAAACAGAAGATTACTGCCCTCTGATCTGTAAAGGGGAAGGAGAACTTGGTGAACACACAGTGACTTGGGCTCTGTTATCTTCTGCAGTTTCTGTGTTTCAGTCTCGACCCAGTTTACTTAAGCATGTTTGCCCAAAGGTTACAACACTCAGTGATAAAAATGTAATGGGGATCTCCTTATTGTTCTCCTTCCTTTCAGTTCCTCAAAAGTAGGCCTGAAGTATACAGGAGCTTCCTGCTCATACCTCGCAGGCTTGCAGAGTAACACCATGTCACACAGAACAAAAGCAACAACAGAGACCCGCTGCCGTCAGGTCAATTCCAGCTTGCGGCGGCCTCATTTGTTAGAGTAGCCTGAGCCCCGTGGGGTTCACCTTGCTCTGATCTTTGTGGACGCAGACCACCAGGCCTCACTTCTGTAGCTCCACTGGGTGGGTTTGACCCACCAAACTTTGGGTTACTAGTCAGGCGCAAACCATTGGGCCACCCAGCAGCTGTTGGCAAGGCTGGGAGAGGTAGGAGCAACCTCTCTGGGCCTTGAAGAGTGGGGCCTGTTTGGGTGCCTACTTCACCTGTGTTACGACGACCAACCACATCATTTACTGTTTGAACAGCAATGCTTGTCCGTGACAGATGGTGCTATAATCATAGATCCAACAAACATAAGCCAGGCTGTCCCAGGAAAACAGGATAAGTGGTTCCCCTCCCTCTAATCCTGTTAGAAGTGCTGGTGCTGAATCTATCCGGGTGTGGTATTCCACTCCTTCCCCACACACACCCTGCCAGACGGAACTCAGAGCTGCCGGTCAGTTCTGCCAGTAAATATGGTCTTACCCCTTCATCTCCCCTGCCCAGAACCTCCCAGGCTTTCATCTCCAATCTGAAAATAGGTCCTAACAGTATCTCACTAACTCTGTGTGCTCTGATCTGTCATTTCTGATCTTCAGTCAGGTGATTGGCTATAAGAAAGTTACTGAGTTTTCTTGGGTTGAAAGTTTTATAAATGAAATGAATACTTGAGTTCTTTCCAAGCTGTTAAATGCAAACTCATGTCATGTCTTAGTGGTTCTTTCTGGTCACAGACATCTTCAGTGAGGGAGATGAGAAGTTATTGAAAGCTTAGGAGCTCACACCCGAGTAGGCAAGGAGGGCTGGTGGAGTTGAGTGGGATCTGCAAACCCGGGTGAGCAGGACAGAGGGAGCGGCACGTGCCGTGGCCCAGAGACCCGCGCAGGCTCAAGCAGTGCCTGTTGGACAGTGATGGGGTGGGAGGTGGAAGGAGGCCGTGGTGAGGCCTAGGTACAGGGAGATATCGCCAAGGCACACGAAGCGGGTGGACGCTGACCTGTGACCGTGAAGTGAACGGCGGGCAGTGCCTGAGCATGCGTCAGAGCTCCGGCTGTCAGGGGAGGGGGTCGGGTGCAAGGCAGAGCAGGGACAGACGAGCAGTGCTGGCTGCAGCCCAGACAGAACGAGGAGTGTCTGGGCGATTCCAGTGTGTCCGACAACTCCCCTTAAAACTTAACGCACAAAGTAATAAAACAATGCGTTGTGTTAGGTGGTGCTGTACAGAGACAGTTTTAGCTTACAAATGAAAAGCTCCCAAAAGGGCTTTGGCCTTAGTGGCTTGCTGCCCCACTGCTGTCATTGGTCGGTGGCCTCACTCAGCCCACCCTCCCCAAAGGCTGAGCGACCTGGACCAGGTGTTAGCACCTGGGTCGAGGTGGGGTGAGCTCACTCTAGGCCTGAGGAGAAGGGTCCCGTGTAGGAGCGCAGGTCCCTAGTAAGGCAGAGAAAGAAGCCAGGGGCCAGGTGAGGCTGCCAAGAAGCTGTGGCTTGCCTGGAGAGCGTTTGTCTGCGGCTGGGAAAACTGACTGGCCCTTTCTCCCTGGTTCTGGCAGGTCCTGGCTGGGGTGAGAGCAGCTCAGGGAGAATAACTAATTGGCTTGTCCTGAAAAACCTCACTCCTCAGGTAAGGCCGGGGCGCCTGGGCACACGACGCTGCAGGCGCTGGGTCTTGGTTGAGTTTGAGACAAGGGCTTCCCCAGGCTGCAGCTCCTCTGAGGTGCTCCCGAGTGGAGGCCAAGGCGGGGCTGAGCAGAGGGATTGCTGAGGCCTGGCCTTAGGCTGCCCAGGCAGGCTGCGGTCTGATCCAGTGGTTACCTGTTAGCCACTGTAGCGTGCAAAGGGTTAACGTGAGAACCTGAGCAGGAACGCGGATTTCTAGACTTTACCCAAGATGGATCGAGTAGGTCTGGGCTGGGACCCGGGAATCTGCATTTTCATAGAGCCAGGCCCATGAATCGGGTGCATGTGGTCCTTGGACGGCGTTGTGCTCTTCGAGATGAGAACGTTTCCTGGGCCCTGGACCACCCCACCCTCTGGAGGTCTGTCTCCTCCCCGCAGGGAGCAGTGCCTCACTGAGGCCGGTGCTGGGCGTGGGAAGAGGGAGGAGGTAACGCCACAGCAGGGCATTGCTGTCTAAGGAACTGCAGCCCAGGCGCAGTCAGGAGTCTGCAGGCTTCGGAAGCTGGCCTCTGCCACCAGGAGCAGGAGGAGGGGGCACCGCACCCCGTCCTTGCAGTGAGCACCAGGGACGAGTGGGCTTCAAACCTTGGGGAAGGGAGATGGGGGCGACATCCAAGCCTGGGACCTCGCCCCTGGAGGGTCATGTAATGACTGTTCCGTGGTGTTTTCCAGATCGATGGCTCGACTCTGCGTACTCTGTGCATGCAGCATGGCCCACTGATAACATTCCACCTGAACCTCCCGCACGGCAATGCCCTGGTCCGTTACAGCTCAAAGGAAGAGGTCGTGAAGGCACAGAAATCTCTGCATATGTAAGTTGCCTGTTGGGCTCGGGATGCCTGGGAAACGCCCTCACGGGTTCCACTCGGGAGGCACTTGGCTGTGGGAGGGCCCAGCGGGTGACAGTGCCCGACTCCGTGTCCACACACCGGGCTCCCCCAGTGACAGCACGTGCTAGGGGTTGCTATGGGGGAGCACCCCACCTGCTCAGGAGGGGCCTAGAGAATCCCTTAGATCACCCGTGGGGCACCAGAACCGTCTGAGGGCCACGCGGGTGTGCGTGGAGGAGGCTCCTGGCACGCCACCACCGCCCTGGCCCGCCCCAGCCCTCCTGCCCCTGACTTTTGAGTTGGGGAGACCGGCAGTCTACCACTCTTCACTGTGCCTGTTTGTGCCTCCCTGCAGGTGTGTTTTGGGGAACACTACTATTCTTGCTGAGTTTGCCAGTGAAGAGGAGATCAGTCGTTTCTTTGCACAAAGCCAGTCTCTGACCCCTTCTCCCGGCTGGCAGTCTCTCGGGTCCAGCCAGGGCCGGCTGGGCTCCCTCGACTGTTCCCACTCGTTCTCCAGCCGGACCGATCTCAATCACTGGAATGGTGCTGGGCTGTCGGGAACTAACTGTGGAGACCTTCATGGCACTTCACTCTGGGGGACCCCACATTATTCCACAAGCCTGTGGGGTCCTCCGAGCAGCAGCGACCCCCGGGGAATTAGCAGCCCATCCCCCATTAATGCTTTTCTTTCTGTTGACCACCTGGGTGGGGGCGGAGAGTCCATGTAACAGTGTCGATGTCGACTCACAAACCGTGACCTCGAGATGCAAAAGAAAGGAGCACTAAGCTGGCTCGCCACCTGCGCCGGGGCCGCCTGCGCCGGGGTGCCTGCGCCGGGGCCGCCTGTGGGAACAGCTATCCTCTGCACATTTTCCACTTTGTTTTCCCCAAAACATATCAGTTTGAATACTTGAATCATGCAGGCCAATATTATAATGTGAAAAGGTATCTGTCTACACTCCCCAGTAGCGCCATACATGCTAAACCATATGGAACGAGCTCACTTGTGCATGTTCATCATGGGTAGCCTTTGGAGTCCTTCTTCTTTTTTCCCTCCTCTCTATTGCCCCACCCCACCCCCATTTTTATTTTTATTTTATTATTTTTTTTTTTTTGCGAAACCATTTTTGGGCTGATAATATATGAGCTTTTAACTTTGCACTGAATGACGTCCTCCCCGTCCAATCGGCAATATGGGGGGGCAGCTGTTCCGGTGTAAATGTTTACTCAAGGACGCTCTTAAAGGTGTGCACTCGCTACTATGCCTTGATGTTTGCCTACCTTATTGTGGTATTGTGGAGTTTAAAGATCAAGTTAGGATACTGACTTTAGGATTATTAATGAACATATTGCACCAGTTCTTTCATGATGTAAAACTAAAGAATTTTGTTCTGCAGTTTGAAAAACTGTGGCCACAGCTGTGACTCGCAGCCCACCTGCCACCAGGCCGGGCCCTGCACTTTGAATAGGCTTTCCATTTTGTTTTGAAGGTTCCCACGCTGAACCTTCTTGTTTACAGATTTTTTTGTTTGTTTTTTGAGAAAAAAAAAAAATGTTTACTCTTCCATCATTTAAAAAAAAATGAAAAGACAAAAAAAAAAAAATGGCGAATGAGTTAAAAGATGCTTTCTATCTCTGGGAAAAAGGAGCAGCATTTGGCCATGTTCTTTTGTTTTTCTATTCCTGTCCTAAATCAAAGAGCATGGTTCTCAGGAAAACCAGTTCCCCAGTTAACAAAATAAATAAAAAACAGGAAAAAAAAAAAAAAAAAAAACCTCGTAGTTTCTTATAGGAGTAAAAGAAACCCCCCAACTCTTAGCACTGATACTACACACTGCTCTGTTCAAGAATTTTCTCTGCCAAAAAAAAAAAGAAATACGCTTAAAGCTGGAGTTTGACATTCTGCTTTCAGATGCTGTCTTTTTATTAGTGAGTGATGATGGTTTGCTGATAGTCAGTAGGTAAGACTTTTTTTGTAACCCCATCAAGTGGTTCTATGTTTCTGCTCTCTTGTGACTGTGTTAATGTTTAACTGTTGTACCTTAAAGCCGAAATCAGTAACTATGCATACTGTAACCAAGGTATTGGGCTTACAGAGTTATTTGTTGTATAAAGAAAAAATTTTAAATGTTGTTGCAAAACTAACGAGTTACACCATTTTAAACCTTTCTTTCTCCCCTCAGCCTCCTTTTTTTCCCCGCAAATGGTATTATAATGCTTGCTTAGTCAAGGAAGAGAGGCTAAACAAGGGTAAACATTTTAACAGTGCAGAATTTGCCATCATTTCATTGCCTTTATTCTAACTGTTTGTGTCCTAAGATGCAAAAGAAGTCAGTGGCTTTTAACTGTTTACAAATAGAATGTGATTGTAACATGTACAGTTTGGTTGTGTTTGAATTATGAACTTTCTTCAGATATAATAAACCACGACTTTTTGGCTGCTCACCATTAATTGTCTCTTTTTTGTGAATTTATTTGTAGGCTCTTTTTTATAATGAAAATTTCAAAGTTGCTATGTATGAGGGTCCTCATAAAGCAACCGATTCAAAATCTAAGCAAATATTTGAACATTTTATCCGAACTTATCCACAACTGCACCCTGAGATAATGTGAGAACAATGGGAAACTGTAGCTTGCTCCTTCCTACCCTCTTTGAGCATCTTTGGGATCTTGTTGCTCAAAACTCTTCTGTGACTTCATCTTCCCACCATTTGTGCCCATCTCAAGCCTCAGCAAGAGATCGTTCGGAACATGAAGCTTAATGACTCGACAGTGGACTAGTGTTAAACTCACATACCTCTGTTACAAACAAGAAACGCCACACCTGAACTGGCTTTTCCTTCCCCTTCACGACCCTCACTTCTCAGCGCAGGAGGTCTGGGGCTAAACCTGTGTATGTATTTCAGTGTATGACTGCAAATCATGCTCCAACTTGCCAAGTGTAAGCTAATCTCGTTGGACACCTTAATAGAAACAAATGTTCAATGCATTCAATGTATATTGACTTCCATACTGGTTTTTCCAAAAACCAAAGGTAGCTTTGAAAAACCACGTCTGGAATTGTTTGGAACATTAAGCTGATTGACCTTTTGGGGCTTTGAGTAGTATATAATTGACTTCATAAACTGCGTTAATTGTATTGTTAAAAGTGTTTGGGAGTTTTTTGCGCTTGTTATGTGGAAATAAAGTGTTTGATTTAAAAAAAGTTAAAAGTGGTTTTGGTTTTTGCCTAAGTCCTTAAATAGCTCTGTCCCCTAAGCACTTAAGTATTTGTTCCTCCATCTGTCCCTCCAACTGCCAGTGCCATAGTCTGGCCCGCCTTCTCCCACAGACATGCATCTAATCTGGCTTAATAACCTCAAGACTCTCGCCACTTGCAGGAGTTGGTCTGAACTTTTCACATGGCCAGTTCTGAATGTCCAAATAGGCTTCACAGTGGCCTCATAGCTCCTGCTTCCCTGGACATATTCTAGGCTCTGGACGTCCTCCGCACAGGCCTGCTAACACTACCTTACTCTCAAAGACTAGAGACGGCGTCATCGAGGACCAGTCCCCTTGTGCCCTCTCCTCCCCAAGACTGGATACCTCTCCCCTTGCTGCTGGCAACAAAGACGTGACTTCTGATCTGTTGTCTTGGGGTACTGTGCTAGGCCACCAGATGAGAAACTCCTGCTTGGCCTTGCAACATGTTGTCACAGTGTTCATTGCTGAGTAAATACTAGAAAGATGATAGTTGTTCCCTGTTGATATTTGAGGACAAAAGATTGTGGTCTGGCCACGTCGTTAAATTGTGAGGGTGGATGAACAGGGAATGACGCCGAGTTTGAAGTGAGGTTCTCGACAAAGTCAAATTCAGGGTGAATAGTAACAACAACAAACAAAATGTGAAGACAGGTTGAAATGAAGAGAGATTTGAATGAGACAGGATCATGAGTTGAGGTCCCACTGAGCAAGTTGGCCAAATGCTCGGTGCTGGGACTTGACTGGTTGCCCCTGCTCCCCGGAGTCCAGGAGACCTCCTCCTGCTCATCCTTTGACTATGGACATGAGTGGAGGGCTCTCTAGAGCCCCCCAGTGAACCCTGCAGGCTGCTTATCGAGAAAGGCATTTGGCCCTAGGCGAGCTTTCCTGGAGCCGGTGTATGTGCCAGGTCGTGGAGGTGGCGGGAATACCGGTCAAAGTGAGTACATTTTGGGGGCTCTGCATGCCAGGTCTTTCTGTACCTCCCTGCCAGAACACCCCAGGCTGGCCTGAACACGAGACAGAAAACCGCAGCACGGTGTTCCTCACACTGGCCACCAGCACGTTCGTAAGGTTGAGTCAGGTCTGGGACAGAATTGTAACTGTACCTTTTAGGTCAAAACAGCGTATGAGTGTTGCATTCTGCTCCTCTGTTTATTTTCATCCGAAGATGATGTTTTAAGAAGCCAGTTAAGTTGCCTTTAAAAAAAAAAAAAAAATCTCATACTTCAAAAAGATGAGCCATCCATTGGGGCAATGGTTAGGATGCTTCACTTTAAGAACCAGAGTATTTGGGTGACAGAGTGTCACTGACCGTTGGTGAAGGGATAGGGGAGTGAGTCCCCCATTCACTGACCTATTGGAGCCCCCAGAGACCAAGACACCCCTGCCCTGGCTATGTTGACCCAGTTGGTAGGGAAGCCCCCAGCCTGCTGAGGCAGCAGCTCCAGGCTTTGGGCAGTGAAAAGCTGTATCCACAATCCCAGCCAACTTCTCGGAGAAGAGAAGCAGTGATTCTGGGCCAACGCAATCTCTGGGCCTCTGAGAACAGTGCTTGGACCACCGTTAAGGTATTGTCGTATCTCTGAACGACCTGAGTTGTAATTGACTACTTTGTTTTTTTTTTTCCCCATCAATTTATTGAAACAATTTCTTTATAAAGGAATGTTGGTGACATTTCCATTTACAAAAAACCAGGACCACTTGCCATATATAGAAGAAAGCTATAAAATAATTGCACAAAACCAAAATAACTACTCAATTCTAGATAGACACCTGTCAAAGACATGAGAAAGTGTTGAAGAGGCATTAAAGGCATGTGACCACTACATGAGGACTTCCTGCCCGGAAAGATAAAAGGGACCGCCAAGAGAGAGCCTTATTTTTGTGGGACCTAACCAATTAACCCGTTTCTGTGGAGTCAACTCAGACTCTTAGCACCTGCATAGGATAGAATCAGACTGCCCCATAGGCTTTCCAAGGCAGTATTCTTCATGGAAAGGCGCACTGGAGGCGTGGGCAAGGTATTTGGATGCTAACCAGAAGGTCAGTGGTTCAAAATCACTAGCTACTCCACAGGAGGAAGATGAGGCAACATACTTATGTAAAGATTTACAGTAGCCCAATGGAGTTGCCATGAGTTGGAATTGACTGGCAATGTGTTTGGTCTGGTTTTGATTAATCTTTATGGGAGCAGGTTGCCGCATCTCGCATAGACAGTCTGATCCAGGTACAAGGAGGGAGAGACCCCACCCAAGGCAGGAAGCAGCAGAAAGAAGCCAGGGCCGACGGCCAGAACAGGTAAAGGAAAGGCCAGGAGGTAGGCGGAGAGGTTTGGAACAGCTAAGGGACACTAACTTGTCTGTCAGTTTGTCCTATGTGGTGGCTTGTGTGTTGCTGTGAGGCTGGAGGCTGTACCACCAGTGTTTCAAATGCCAGCAGCGTTGCCCATGTTGGACAGGTTTCAGCAGAACTACTAGACTGAGAA